CTTTCTGAAATGCTTACACAATCAATAGAACAAAAAATAAAATAAAATTAGTAAACTACAACTAAGAAGAACAAAAATTCTACTAATCTAAATTTTTTCAAATAACACCACTCCCTGGCAGCGGCGCCATTTTAATGCTCGTGACCAATGACACAAGCCTACGGTATGAGTAGCTACGATCATTGATAGTATAGTAACCCAACTAAAGGTTGGGGTCGTGTCCTAAGGGAGTGGTTTTGAGAATTGATAGAAAAGTAAAATTAAGCTCTAACTAGTCGTAGCTAAAGACATTAACGATTAAAAATATAGTAAATTAAAGGGGGAGACACAAAAGTGTCAAATATCGATTTAGGGGTTTTGTCACAAGTAGTAAAAATAGCAAAATTAACAAGAAAATCAAATATGGGGAAATGTTCTTGGGATGTGACCGCAATACAAGTTGAGATAAATCGTTGGGTACATTCTTTCAATAGGGAATTTGCAAGATAATAGTGACTAGGCAAAGCTTTAGATGGAAATAAGTTTCCTCTCGGGCAACTTACCCCATTTCAAATAGGTTTATCTCAAACACCCATTTTCCGCATGAAGACCAGCCTACGCCTTACCCCACTCACTCTCTCGAGCTGAGTGTTAGGATATGGGACTAGGGCTTACCCTCTCAGGTTGAACCTCATGTCGACCCACTCCTTAGGCCATCAGTCTAGTGGTCTTGGTTTCGCGACCTCCCTCTAGGGCAAGCCGAAAACACATGGGTGGTTTTGTATTTGCAACTACAAACCCATTAAATTAAACCACAACCACTAGGTGAAATCACAATTAAAATACATCTATCCTATCAGCAAGCAAGACCCAACAACAATATCAACACATATTTGCTAAATCACACCCCAAGAATGGGGGTTTTAGCCACACATAAAGAAATAAAAATACACCTAAAATGATACTAAAATCAAATGGGTATAAGTAAACATTGATTTAAGCAAAGGAAGAAGAATGGAGAAGACCTACTTCCAACTTGGGGAAGATGAAATCTTTCTCTCTTCAAGTCTCCCACAAAACCCTCTCCAAACTTGAGAGAAAATATCTAAAAACGTACTATTCTATTCTGAAAGTAATAATAATGGTTCGAAACTTCTAAAATTAATAAAGAATTTAGTATTTATAGTCATCAGAATTTAGTACAGGCGGATAGTTCGGCGAAGTTAGTCGATGCCGCCGAATGACTCGGCGACTCGCCCTTCTTCTGTTTCATCGCCGTTGTATGCTTGCCTCAGCATCTTCATGTTCTGGACCATTGGGAGGTATAGTACTGCTTCGCGGAACTATTCGGCGAAGCGTCGACTGCTCCTTTCATCGCCTTTTTGATCCTTTTCCTACAAGGTGTTGCATACTAGAACAAAGGGCGGAGTCTGTCCTTTCGGCGAATCGCCAAAGGTTCTTGGCGATGCTCATGCTTCAACTTCTTCGTTCTTTTCAGCCTTTTTGTTCCTTTTTACGCCTAAGTATCCATGCTTCCACTAAAACTTCAAATACCTGAAACTTAAGAGTTTTCATCAGATATTGAGACAAAATAAGCATTCAAGGACACTATTTCTATCAAAATAAAACCCTAAATGAGTCTAATTTGTGGACTCATCAACACCCCCAACCTAAACTTTTATTTATCCTCAAGCAAACTCAAGTTCAGCCGTTCAAAATGGGTGTCTCAAACAGTGCTACACAAGACTCAATCATGAGTGCACACAACAAGACTCAATTTACTTATGCAAGGATCAATTGTGTACTCAAAGATTCAAGTTGTGACACACCATTACCAAAGATTCTTATGCTCACATACTTGCTACTTGTGCAAGTTCAAGCTCAACAAAATGTATCTTAATGCCCTCACATGAAAAATGATTACATATTCACACACAGAGGTTAATCAATTCAAGATCAGGAATCTGATGCAACGCTCACACTCAAAAAGAGGAACACAATGCATGCTTTCACCCATAGGTTTGCCCTTATTTTCCAATCGACTTTCGATTCGGTTTACTCAAGATCAAAATGGTTTTTCTAAGGCTTGTAATGGGGATGAGTGCAAAGGTATGGTCATTTAGACTCAGTGACTATTTCCTCGTGAGTTATGGCATTCTCAAGGCATTTCCTTTATCAATTCTTTTTCTAGTGCTTCTAAGTCACCTTTTTTTTATTCTCCTCCATGGATTACTTGAAACCTGATTCCCTTCGTACTATATTCCACATTTCTTTTCTTTTTTAATTGAATTGAATTGAAAGGGTTCCATTTTTATGCAATATCATGGGTTAAGGGGGGCTTTTCTTGCACTTCTTGACTTCTCCTTTTCCCTTTCACCACACCCCCAACTTAGGCTTTTGGCCTAAGTTGGCTATTCACTAAATCACAAATTAAGAGGATTATAGGTAGCGGGTCAAGTAAGGTCTAGGGTTCATCAAGGTTCTTCCAAAGAAAGGTAAGGCTCAAAGGGTGTTCAAAAGAGTTTCACACGCTCACGGGTAGGCCACAAAAGAGGTATATGTCAAATTTGACTCACACTCTTTAAAATTGACTAAGATCATATCAAGAGGACACCTTTCTAAATCAATCAGACGAACAGGGCAAATTCTAGGTTTATTCATGCATGGTTCAAGGCAAGCTAATCACACAAGGCATTGACACTTAAAGCAAACAAGACTACACACTTTCGCTAGTGTGCAATGATCATTACAAGAGAATCAATTCGATAAATTGTTAATCACAACGAGATGCAAAGAGTTCACATATTGTTTATGCAACTTCATTTGGCCTCATCGTTGCCGTACATTCATGTTCGTTCAATTGAGAGCACTATTCAAGTCATCGGTATTAATCGAAACCGAGACTCAATTTTTTGCAAAAGAATATCCACATTCAACTCACGAAGGGTGGCAAAAAGTTTGGAAAATAGGAAAAAATTATTGCATTTACTAGTATTTAGTAGAAAATTTATTAAAGAAAATATTGTCAAATTGATGTGTGGGGTCCCAAATTCTGGTCAATTTTTTCTGGCCATTTTGATGTATTTATTTTATAGTTTTTATTTTATAACACTTGTTGAACACAAAACTTTATTATCTCGAGAAAATACCTTGAATGCATCAAAGGTACAAACTTTGTTTTCTTAATTAATGACAACTAGTTAATCAAATCGCGCTTTGTGCGATCTTATTTTTTTATATATAGTTGATATAAAAAAAAATTTAGAAAATTACTATATTAAAAATAATATATATAAAATCAAACTGAAAATAACAATAAAAGAAAAAAAAAAAAAAACAATAAAAATAAATTTGTTTGAAGAAAAAAGTAGAAGAGAACTACAATTTAGCCTTGACGTAATACAAAGAAATATTTCTTTATATGCAACTTTATTACATACATTGTTATTTCATTTTTAGGTGTTTCAAATTATTTATGCTATTTTACTAATAACTTTTTTCTTTTCTTTTTTTGATTAAAAGGTGGGTCAAGCCCTTATTTATAAAAGGATCAGTTATAACAAATGCAAACCAAGCCCAAAAAGGACCCGATCCCAATAATACTAAAAATCTACTCTATTTTGAAAACTAAAGCTAAAACTGAAAAAGAAATGGGAAAGGGGATTGGAAGTCGTCTGCTTCAGCCGTAACCTTGAAACAACCAATATGTACCATGAGTTTTGGGTGTATTTCACATTGGAAGTTGACAAGTCCCACCAACATCATGATCCCAATCGGAGACTTCTCCAACCCAGTGTAGCATTATCAACGCTTCAAGATAGGTGATGTCTTCGCTCTTATGTTTATATCTACGCTTACCTAAATTAGACCTCGTAACCTTTCTCCCTTATCTTTGACACATTGAGCCCAACAAGGAGCTAATACCACTGTTTAAAGCCTTAGGATTAAATTACTTCAGTGTACATCAAATTGTTGCGCCAGCTTGCCGTCAAAGTACTAAAAACTCCTTAGGGGTCGTTTGGTGTGAAGGATAGGTACAAATAGTACTGGGATAAATATTTAGTGGCACTTAATTTAGTGTTTGGTTGGGAAGTTTGGGATAACTTATCCTGGGATTAATAAATAGTACCAAGATAAGTTATCCCTCCAAAAGGGTGGTATAGTAATCCCATCACAATTTGTGATGGGATAAATTTATTAAATGACAAAACTACCCTTCAAACCCTTTAATTGATAAGCTTTCACAAGTGCCGCTTATGGTCTTAGCTTCCAGATTTCTTCTCTTCTTCATTGCAGTGAGAATCACTCTTTCATTTGGGTATACTCAACTTTTCATTTTCGATTGAAGCCATAGATGGGTGATTGAAGAACTTCTTTACCAATAACCTTCAACTTTCAAGTTTCTAACAAGGTTAATTTTTTTTTTCCAGAATTTGTTTCTCTTTTCTTTCTTTGTCATTATTAATAATTCTCTGATCTGTTGCATAATAATTTGGATACACTCATCTTTTCTATTTAATGGAAGAGATCAAATTTTTTTTTTGAATGTTATGTTTTGGGGGTTTTGTACATTTTGAAAAAAGTTTGTTCTTTTTATGTGCTTGAAATATTTGTAAACAATTTCAAGTTGTCCTCACTGTAAAGTTGCCCTCGTTGATTCTTTTTTAATTTTTTTTTTTTTTTGTGTATTAACTCTTTTCATTTTTTAATGAAAAAATAGGGTTTCTTATGGATCATCAACTACAGTCCGATATTGAATGTTTTATCATCCTTGAGGAGATATTGTGCCAACAATTTCTTGTTATGTTTATTTTTCTTTTCATGGTTATTCATGGTATTTCTATAAAAAGAAATAGGCATGTGATTAGGTACCTTATGAGTAGTCGAGTTCCTAAAATTATATCTCATTTAAATTGTATTGTACAAGATAGTGACACAACATGTATTGATAAGTTAAGGATGGATAGAAATTCTTTTCACACTTTAGTTCTCTTAACTAAGGAAGTTGGAGGTAGCTGACTGATAGCAAATATATGTCAAGTAGTGAAAAGTTAGCAATGTTTTTAAATATTTTGGCTCATCATGAGAAGAATAGATCCATTAAGGTTGATTATATTAGATCAGGCTGGAGCGTAAGTCAAGCTTTCAATGAATGCTTGAAAGCTATTCTAAAACTAGCTCCATTGTTACTTGTTAACCCCAAACCGGTGCTTGAAGATGAGCTTGACGATCGATGGAGATGGTTTAAGGTATATGCACTTTCAATTGGGTATCTATTAATTTATGTAAAAGTAAAATAAATATAATTTTACGAAGAAATTTTTGTTGTTTGAGATAATGTTATAATTTTTTTATAGGGATGTCTAGGTGCATTGGATGGTACTTACATTCAAATTAGAGTTCCATCTAAGGACAAACCAAGATACAGGACAAGAAAGGGAGAAATAGCAACTAATGTACTAGGAGTTTGTGATAAAAATCTTAATTTTACTTATGTATTACCTGGTTGGGAAGGATCAGCGGCTGATGCTCGTGTATTACGAAATGCTATAGCTCGAACGAATGATTTGAAAATTCCCGAGGGTAATGCTATACATATGCTCACATTAAAATTATATCACAAAAATAATGCTATATAAAAGCAACTAATTTCTTATTTATATTATAGGTAATTATTATTTGTGCGACGGAGGATATACAAATGGAAATGGTTTTCTTTCACCTTACCGAGGATATAGATATTGGTTAAGGGATTGGCAAGATGAAAATCCACCACCCTAATGCCGATAAGAGCTTTTCAATATGAAGGATACTAGAGCTCGTAATGTTATTGAAAGGACATTTGGTCTCTTGAAAGGACGTTGGGGAATTCTTAGAAGCCCTTCTTGGTACTCGGTTAAGATACATAACAAGATTATTAGTGCTTGTTGTTTGATACACAACTTTATTCGTAGAGAGATGGAAGTGGATCCCTTAGAGATCGATGTGGAAGAACAAGTAGAATATCAACAAGATAACATTGATGTTGTTGAATCATCTCAGGAGTGGACCACATGGAGGGATGAGTTGGCTCAATCAATGTGGAATGCTAACTTAAACAATTGATCTTTACATTATTTTGTGCTTGTTATATGTTTATGTTGCATTTGAATTATTATTCCCTTTAGTTTATGATATTCTTGTAAGATGCATCAACTTTTAGCTTTTTATGATATAAGAAACAATTACTTACATTAATTTGTAATGTGTTTAATTTATTTCTTTTTTGTGATGTGTTGGTATGTTTTTAATTTATTGTTTTTGTACATTGAAGTGTATGAATTTTTTTTATGATGCTAAGTAATGATTTGGAGATACTTTAGCTTTTTATGATGGTAACTAATACTAACAATGATTGTTTCACAAAATTATTCAGACAAATGGAAATTCA